CTAACCGCTGCTGTCATGGTTTGTTTGCTAAACTGCATTGTCGCTGTGTCCCAAAACATGGGCATCAGCAAGAATGGGGACCTGCCCTGGCCTACGCTCAGGAATGAATTCAGGTATTTCCAGAGAATGACCACACCTTCTTCAGTAGAAGGTAAACAGAATCTGGTGATTATGGGTAGGAAGACCTGGTTCTCCATTCCTGAGAAGGATCGACCTTTAAAGGATAGAATTAATTTAGTTCTCAGCAGAGAGCGCAAGGAACCTCCACAAGGAGCTCATTTTCTTGCCAGAAGTCTAGATGATGCCTTAAAACTTACTGAACAACCAGAATTAGCAAATAAAGTAGACATGATTTGGATAGTTGGTGGCAGTTCTGTTTATAAGGAAGCCATGAATCACCCAGGCGATCTTAAACTATTTGTGACAAGGATCATGCAGGACTTTGAAAGTGACACGTTTTTTCCAAAATTGATTTGGAGAAATATAAACTTCTGCCAGAATACCCAGGTGTTCTCTCTGATGTCCAGGAGGAGAAAGGCATTAAGTACAAATTTGAAGTATATGAGAAGAGTGATTAATATGAAGGTGTTTTCTGGTTTAAGTTGTTCCCCCTCCCTCTGAAAAGAGTATGCATTTTTACATTAGAAAAGAGACTTGTTGACTTCAGATCTATGGATAATTATTTCTAAGCAACGTGTTTATTCCCCACTAATCTTGACTATATCAGATACCATTTATGAAACATTCTTGCTATAACTAAGTGTCTCTCCAAGACCCTGACTGAGTCCCCAGCACCTGCTACAGTGAGCTGCCATTCCACACCCATCACATGTGGCACTTGCCAGTCCTTGATATTGTTGGACTTTTCTAATGTTGGTAGTATTTATTAAAGATGAAGATGCACATACCCTTCAACTGAGCAGTTTCACTGGTGGGAAATACCGAAAGCTTCCTACGTGTATATCCAGAGGTTTGTAGACAAATGTTGCAGCCTTGTTTGTAACAGTGAAAAACCGAAAACAACCTGAAGTCCAGTGATGGGAAAATGAATATATTTCTGTCTTAAATTGGGGAACCCAAAGCAGATTCAAAGACTGAAATTTCAGTGAAAGCAGTTTATTTGCTAGGTCATACCAGAAGTCATCAAAGTATGGAGAAATGGAACTGGGAAGGTAAAAACCAGTTCAAAGTCAGTGAGGTTCTCATTGGTAACAAGCTCCATACTGCTGAGATGCAGGGAAACAGAGGGGAGAAAGCTGGAGTATTTAATCCCCCGCTCCTTGGTTGTCAGCTCCCTGTCCTGTGTGTTGGCAAAACGTACTCAAGCTACTCTATAGGTAGAGTCCCAGGTGTTTGCTGTAAGAAGCTGCTGGAATGTACGGCAACAGTGAATGCCAAGCACTTAAAGCAATTCCATGTTTAAGTATGTAAGCTCTTCGTACTTTTTTTTTTTTTTT